AGAGTGTATGTCAAATCTGCGATTATCCAATCAAATAATTTCGCCAATCGTGATAAGGTTATAGTTATAAGCATGGTGCTCAATACCTGCCCAAACGAATGGCTTTGCCATAGAACAAGCAATAGATATCATTGAACATGCAACCGGCGCTTCAGAGCAATAATAATGAAGAAAGTCATACAAATCCGAATCAAATTTCTGATGTAGTAATGAGCTAAACTTAACTGAAATCTTACGAAGTCATCAAAATTGAGTTTTTACAGTAGTGATGAAAGCTTCAGTTGACTATCTAGAATGACCGAAAAAGCCTAGAGCGCAGTCACTAAAACGAAATATGGAAATCGACCGGAACATGACTAAAACAACTCACCGCCAGTGTTTTTCCTGATCCGGTTTTTGCAATCGACACAATGTCTCGACCACTCATCGCAATCGGCCACGATATCGACTGAATGGTGGTTGGTTTCTGGAAGTTGTTGTACAACAGATCCGTGATCTGTGATGGATAATTCGCCTCGGTGAATTCGAACACAGGTCGTGGTATGTCTTTACCTTCCAGTGTTACTTGATTCTCCGCAAGCCAGGTGTCAATTTCAAACTGAAACGAACGTTCACGTTGAAAGCGGAATTTAATTTAGGTAAATGATGAAAGTACTGAAAATTTTTAAAATTTTCCCATGCAACTGCTCAGAAACTGACCTGATTACGAGCCACTACAGTTGCATGTTCATAGTAGAAGCACTTTTCGAAAGGTCGCAAATTTTCGCGACTCCAATTGATTGCACGAAGATTGCCGCCTGCCATGGATGTACCATTTTTCGAACCACCTAAAATCAATAAAATCACTGAAGTGCATACGAAAAGAGGCATGAGACGAAACAGGAATAGCATTGAACAAATCGTACCTTCTCGATTGTGAGATAGAAATTAATAATTCTACCTAAAAACCGATATCACACGAATCATTGACACCATTTTGGACATTGAATAATCACAATTATCAATCGATCGATATAACTAATAACGAAAACATACCTCCATAACTATCTGAACGTCCACCGAACGACCCTCCCCCACCACTNCGAGAACCACTGAAGCCACGACCTCTGCCGAATCCTCCACGACTACCACCCCCTGAACCATAACTGCTGCCACTGCCGCTAAAATTTTAACTGATTACACAAGAACAGAAATAAGACTGATAACATGCTGAAAAGTGTTCAAAAGGAACCTAATCCCCCCGAAATGCGAAAAGAACAGAAACCAAGCCACGAGAAGGTTTACAATTCTGAAGTATTGCCCAAAAGAGTTTATTGATTTGATGAGTCATATGTGTATTCTGTGTTAATTTCGTAACAACTTCAATGCGCTTCTTCAATAAAAGCATGTTGAGAAACCTTACGGGATGCGCGAGAGCGAATGCTGTTGTGAAGAAAACATAAAAATTGGCTAAAATGTTTTAAAACAACGAATATTTCTCAGTACAGAATAAAATTTTAGGAGGAAAAACAAGTGGACAAATAGAACTGAAAGAAAAACGACGAAAACTTACAATTTACTGCTGCTGCCTCCACGATTCATTTTCAATAATATTTTTGGTATTTCAGGTAAGTCCCGCAATCCAAAATGATAATAGGAATATTCCTTACGGAGACCTAAAAAGATTGCTGGACTGGGTACGACTCGAAGTCGATGAAAGTGACGTTGGAGCGTTCGGACGCTGAGCGGTGAGTCAATAATCTACAGTAGCCGTCAAACAACCTATAACATTATGCTATACGAAGACAACGGCCAATTGAACGATTCGAAACAGAACAACTAAATATCTCAATATGCCAGAAAGTATAACTAAACGAAGTTCTCAGGCATATTAGATTTTGGGAACCTAAAAAGACTGGAATTTCTGTGTGATTTCTACAAGGAAAACATCAACAGTCCACGTACCGTCATTCTAATTTGTGAGCAAGACCACACGCAAACTCAATAATCAACTTAAACAACCATAATCCTGAAACACATTTCAAGTTGCATCATATTAAACTAACGAAATCAAAATTTGTGCACTACTTGATTTTGAGTAAAACTTTCCTCTATGAACGGGAACTTTCCCACTCGCGGAGTTTTGCTTGAAACCGAGTGATGTACCTAAGTCATTGTTGTGGATTTCAAGGAGCATTGCTAAATGATTCACAATCTCTATTTAATCAAGCAATGGTAAACAGATTTTCGTATGCAAAATTCATAGAACAATTTTAACAGTCCAAAACAGCTTACTTTTTGCTCGAAATTCACGAAGTTATTAATTCTCAACATTACAGAACACATTCCAACGTTTCGGACAAGCTGCAATGCGGCGATCTAAAGTGCATTATGAAAATTACGTTAATTAAGGTCAAATTCATTCAACGAAAACCTGTCAATATTATTGAATCTTATTTCCGTTAAGTCTTCAGTTAATGTATGCACTCTCCTCAGTAAATATTGCTATGACAATTTTTGATCACATTCGCGGCAGTTATTTTGCGTAATCTGCAAAATCTTCCTCATTGTTAGCACTTCTTAGCGATTCATGTTCCGTTAGTACATGATAAAATATCTTTCAAATGTTGTTATATTCAACCTTTCTCACCTGAATTCCATTTGATCTCGATTAATATCGATGAAATTTTGCGTTGAATTCCACCTCGACAAATGAGATCATCAGTATGAAAATTTGAAAAAAGATGCATGAAACTAGCTTTATTCCTCGCCAAAATCTATAGGTAACATTGAATTGTTTCGTGAAACACTCGAAAATTTTGCATCCAGGAAATATTCATACGTGGCTGCATTATAAATCTAGAATGAACTAAATGAATACCATTCTACGTTACGCTGCCTTAATTCAGAACGCATCCAATGACTACTCATTGATGGGTTGGAACGTTTAAAAGCATGAATCAGAGGCTAACAAGAATTTGAAAGCGATTAGCCTGATGCAAAATCAATTGGCAGTATATCTTATCATGTGTCAATACTCATATATCAAGAGTTATAATGTTGTTTCGTTTCACTGAGTGCCTTCTGAAACGATTCATACAGTTGCCTGCAAAACAGTTTCTAGATGCTTCACCTATGGATACACACACACACACACACACCAATCACCTTATGAAGCACGCACGCGACGGGGTTCCTTTTCATCTCTGCTGCGCTATTGTATTCTAACACTATTTTCTTTCTCAGAATCCCCAACAACACTCTTTTTGCCCTTACAGAAGGGACACCTTGAAGCAATGCGTTGCGACTAGGCATGCATCTGATAACGTACAGAATCAACACCACACCTACCGAAGCACTCAACTTTTTTCATGTCTTCGGTTGGTTGCCTATATTTTAGGCTCCAAACTATTTCGCAATATTTCGGTCGTTCAGTACTTCTGACTGAAAAATTCGTCTATTTCAAAGAATTTGATAATTATTTTCATTTGATTTTTTTCATTCAGTTGACATATGCCACCCATCAAGCATTCACAATATTCCAAATGCACCACTTTCCACTGCCACGTTTCTTAAGTTTTTTCTCTAATTGACAATTCACAAATTCCAGCCAAATCCTATCATCAAGAACCTCTCTCTTCTCAGATTTGCATACTTTGCAATCTTGTCTTCGTACATTCCTTTTTCGTCAAAATTTGCATTGACAATATAAATCGTTGGGTTATCTTGCAATCGCGATTTATGATATTATGTGAAATTATTACGATCGCCTATGACTTGAATCAAGCATCAGCTTTTGGCACTGTTGCTGTTTTGCTCCCAAAACGTTAACAGCTTTTCACAATGAAGTGTTTCCGAGGACAATGATACTAAGATGACAGCTGATTATAATGTAAAAAGAAACTAGATTTTCATTTTCTCGAAAATAACATTATACACATCACGAAGATCCGAACATTTCTAAGAATAGCGACATCAGTAG